TAGTCAAGTTTCGTGCCTGCATCTACGATGCCTCACTATTTACTATGTGCCAAATTAAACAATAACTTTTAGGCTTATAGCAGTCTCAGTATATGTGATTATTGCAATCTCAGCTGCAATCAGTTTGAATAGTCGCCTTAAGGAAAGAAGAAAGCAGACTATTTTATATTTTAATTAGGTGGAAGTAATATATCAATAAGCTAACACTTCAGCTGGGCTGAATTTGTCTGATCAACTTGTTTCTACTTATACCCTTTGCCAGTGGAGCAGAAGGTGCTCAACTGTGAAAAAAAAAAGAAGCCCCCGGCTTTATCTATATATATATATATATATACATACATTTACTCCTAACAATTTAATTCTCATAAACCTATAGGGAAGGTAGTCTTATATTTTTCAGATGGAAAACTTGACACCAGCCTCGGAGCTACACAAGGGCCATGGAGGGCCAAGGTCATGGCAGAGCCTCAATTGTCTCCACAGGGAGCAGATATGGACAACTTAAGGTAACAAGTGGATCCATGAAGATGGAAGCAAGAATGAGCAGGTAAGTAAAGGGTTAGTGAAAGGAAACTCTAGGAGGGCATGGTGGTAGGGGAAAAACGGTGACTTCACAGTTCGACCTAAAAGCTGAATAACCACAGGTGTTCTGGAATTCTTTTGAGTCTTGGTTTTCTTTTATGTAAAGAGGAATAATAATATCTACATCAGAGATTGGTTTTGAGGATTAGATGAAACAATGTATGTAAAACATGTAGCCTATCTTTCTTCTTCCTTCTCTTCTTTCCTTCCGCTTCTTCATAATTTTGCCCAGGGGTGGTCTTAATTCTAACTGAAGGTAATGGGAAATAAAAGTTAGTTATAATAAAACTTATGGGAAGGAAAGAGATAAACAGCAGTCAATCATTTTAGTAATAGAGGAGTTGTGCTTTGATATGATTCAAAACCTGAACCTAATCTGCATTTTATGTCAAAAGTTGATAGGACCTTTCAGTGTTGGACACTCAACTCTGACTTTACAGACTTCCTGTTACTGGAAAAAGAATGTAAAATTCCATTTGGGTATTTTTCACAGTGGTACTTTCACATGTTTCCTAACAGCTGAAGCTTCTAACCTACCCTCCCTCCAGCACATAATTTGCTCCCCAGGAGCTCACAAGATTGAGACCATATGGGTGCATATCCTTATATTCCCCCATGGCCACTCTACAATCTTCTTTGAGTGGCTTTCTTACTTCCTTTTATCCAATATTAATGTGTTTAGTCCGCTTCATCCCAGCTTTTTGAAAAAAGTGAAATCTAATTCATTTTATTAGGTCCAATAGGCCAAGTATAGTGCCAAGAATATCATTTGCACTTAACAAAAGTCACTGACTAAGTAGGTAGACTTGAATGTTTCAGTCCAGTGTATTAGTAGTTTCAAAGTCTTGGCAGGAGAATTAGGATATACATGTTGAAACGCAAGAGGAAATAGTCATTATTCAGGTTTTGTTGACTTCCATAGAGGCTCCTGAGAATCAAAAAATAAGGCATGGGGGCGGAGACCAAAGCCAGAGTTCAAGTCCTAATGCTACATTAGAACAAGAACAGAGAAAGAGGCTGATCACTTCAGCTGCGTGGTAGATGAGGGTCACTTGGCTAGTGGAGTGAGTCACTGAAGTATTATCTGTCACCCTCTCCCTTTGTTTATTTCCTCTACTCTTTCTTTCTGTCCCCCTTTCCCTCCCCTCCTTCCCTTTTTCTTCCCTCCCTCCCTCCCTCCTTCCCTCCCTTCCTTCTTTCCTTCCTTTTCTTTCCTTCCTTTTCTTTCTTTCAAGAGAGACAGGATTTCTTGCTTTATTGCTCAGGCTGGATTGTACAGTAGTATACTGTGATGATAGCTCACGGCAGCATCTAACTCCTAGGTGGGCTCAAAGTGATCCTCCTGCCTCAGCCTCCCGATTAGCCAAGTAGCTGGGACTACAGGTGTATAACACCACACCCAGCTAACTAGAAGTAGTCCTTATGATGGACAGGCATGTTCTCAGTTAAAAATGGAGGACTCTGTTAGTGAGGAGGAAGGGGTCAATAGATATGGAGGGTCAACCAGTGATCTCTGCCAGAGAGGTGATGGGGATAATGGTACATTTTGGTGATAAAACGGAATTGAACTGGATTGAATATAATGATGCTAATAATGAGCCACAAAAGTAAAAGAAGAATAAAAGACATCTTTAGATTGTTTTAATCAGGTTGGTTTATAGAATAGAGGTCCCTTTTAACAAAAGTAGAAAACCCAAAAGGAATATATACTTAAAATGTATTGCATATATATAATAAAGTGTACCAAGTAAGATACTGTACAGATAACACAGGAGTATGACACAGTTGCTAACCAAATGTGGTAGATAACTATGCAGCCTGCTTTATTCCACTTCTCTAAGGCAGGGCAATCAACCATGGGTTTTTGCTGTTATTAATGTGATAAAATAATATGTTAAGTATGGTGCTTGACAAATAACAAATGTTCAATACATAGAGTGAATTTTAGTATTTTGATTATACTTTTAAACAAAAGTCATCTAGGAGAAAACAAAAGTATGAAGGTTAAGACTTCTGGTGAAACAGTGAGTAGCTCTCTGCAGTGGTTACAGAAATGCCCCAGCATGGATACCATCCTGTAAACTGGCTCTGCTGTCCCAGCAGTGATGGAAACCACCCAATTTGCTTTCTTTTGGAAGAGACAGAGTGGCTGTCAGTTTACTACAATCTTTTGAACTTCCTGGAAAATTGAATGTATAACATGAGAAAGGAGAGGCAGGAGAAAGAACCTGGAATAGAAGTCGAAGACAAACAGCCTCGTAAACACCAAGATTCTGGGGCTACTCCAGCCATTTACAGCTTTAGAATTATGGACGGTAACACTTAAAAAATATGCTATGTTCTAACCACCACAAGGTTTTTCACTCTAGCAGCTAAGCAAGCACTGGCCTCAGGATTTGCAATATTAAAAGAGTCACAGCTCATCTACCATCAGATGCTAACTGACCCTGCTATTCCACAAGCCATAACTACAGCTTTGATGGGACAAGAGTCTGGTTTCAGTAACTTTCTCCTGATTAAGAAGACCACTGACCATTGACTGGTTCTGACAGTCTACAGAGATTATACACTTACGTACCTTTGTATGTAAAATGATCTTTTGATGCATAGAGCATAACTGTAACACTGAAATGTTAAGCAGCCACCCCAAAGTGAAAACGGATCATATGCTACAGGCAAATTTGCTCAATAGGCATGTGTCAGCACCACCTTCATGAATATTCATAGCTCCTCCTATAGCTAGTTGAACATATATGTTTAACCAACCTCTTCAGTATGAAGCTCCTACCCAAACTCTTCCCCTTTGAAGGGCTTGTCTCTGGTCTTGGCTGGATGGCCACCTTGCAGACTGTAACCCTTTGGAAGAAATAAAGTCTTCTCTCCCCTTTTCAAAATTTAAAAAGTGTGAATTTTCATTTTCACTTCATTTAACTTTTAAATTCAGGTAAACTTATATAATGGGGGTTTGTTGTACAGATTATTTCATTGCCCAGGTATTAAGCACAGTACTCATTAGTCATTTTTCCTGATCCTCTCTCTCCTCCCCACCTCTATCCTCCAGCAGGCCCTGGTGCCTGTTGTTCCCCTCTATGTGTCCATGTGTTCTCAGCATTTAGCTCCCACTTGTAAGTGAGAACATGTCGTATTTGGTTTTCTGTTGCTAAGGATAATGGCCTCCAGCTCCATCCTTCCATGTTCAGGGAAAAGAGGCTCATAAACACCAACTTGCTTCCATGTTCAAGGATGGAGCTGGAGGCCATTATCCTTAGCAACAGATAACCAAATATTTTTTATGGCTGCATAGTATTCTATGGTGTATATATACCACATTTTCTTTATCCAATCTACCACTGATGGGCATTTAGGTTGATTCCATGTTTTTGCTATTGTGAATGGTGCTGCAATGAATATAAGTGTGCATGTGTCTTTATGAGAGAGTGATTTACATTCCTTTGGGTATATACCCAGTAATGGGATTGCTGGATCCTATGGTAGGTCTATCTTTGAGGAATCACCACACTGATTTCCAAAATACATGTGGCCAACAAGAATATGAAAAAACATTGATCACTGGAGAAATGCAAATCAAAATTACAATGGATTTTTAAGTTAATAACGTGAACAGGCTGAGTATGAAGGACATGGTGGCTCACGCTTGAGTATGTATGGAACTGTGCTGGGGAGGGGAGCTGTACAATGAAGATAAATTGAGGAGGGCTTCTCATTGCAGGTGGAGGATATTACTTTATCACAAAGGCAACTATTAAGAGTAACCATTTTAAACAGTAAAAGCTGGATAGGTCTGTGTTTTAGGGAGGTAGAAATGGGGATGGACTGGAGGGGTCAAATACCAGAGTTCAGTTTTGAAGCTGTGGTACCCATTCCAGAGAAGTGTTGCATTAACAGAACACGGAAGTCCTGAAACAGACCTTGGTTAGAATGGTAAATATTTACAGTTGGAATGGTAAATACTTATCAAGTGAGCAAGCAGGATAAGTTACTTAATCTGAGTCTCATGTTTTCTATAAAAAACTACTTAAAAAAAAAAAAGAAAGTAAAAACGTATGTAAAGTATCCAGTGGATGGTCATTACTCAGAAAAAGGTACTTAAAAAGTTCTCCCTTATTCTTTCTGAGTACCACCTGTAGTACTTGAACCACTTCGGCCCCTACCACGCTGTTGTGCAATTTCTTTTTACCTGTCTCACCCTCTTCGGGGTGCCTCATCGGGACTTCTGAAGGCTCACAGCCTAGGTCCTTGTATTCCGCGTCTCTGGCACGTGCCTCTGCACACAGTAGGCCTCAACAAAACGTGTGAGCAAATAGGATGTAAAGGGGTGAAGGAGGTGGGCGCGAAACGGGTTGGAGGTCGCGTACTCGGCGGGTTTCTGCCGCCAGCGCAACCCCGCTGGGTCGTACCTAAGAGACCGCAGGTGTCAGAGAGCAGCGGGCACCGTCTCCAGCATCTTGAGGGCCAAGCAGGGTCGCTCCTCCAGCAGCGCGCGGGCGAAAGGGTGAGGAACCCTACGGGCTCCCGTCCACCTAAGAATCGAAATCCCCTCCTCTAAGCCTTCAGGGCTGGTTCTCGGGAAATCCTCTTTCCCCTTCTTCCCCCTTCCTTGGCCTTTCTTCCTGCCCGGAAGGATCAAAGGCGCTACTTTCCAAAAGCTGCCGGGTCGGAAGCGGTGGGGAACGGGGCGGTGCACGTGGGTGGAGGATAGGCGGGGAGAGGGGAGTCCACGAACTTTTGTCACTCAGTCCGGAAGACCACGGTGGCAGTCCCTCTGCGCCGCGGGCAGGCCAGCCTCTCCGGCCCTGGCCTAGGGGGCGCTGAGGAGAGAAGCCGCCGGAGGCTGCAGAGTCGCCGACCGCGCCGCTCGCAGGGAGACCCCGGGCTGCCCACCGCGGCCTAGCGCGCGCCGAATGGCAGCAGTGTCAGCGGCCATAGGCCGCTTCTCGCTGGAGCAGTTCGGCCTCTGGAGCCTGGCCCTCGCCGCGGCCCTGCTGCTCCTGGCCCTGTGCCTGCTCCGCGGGCGCACCAGGTAAGCGCCCCGACCGCCCGGCCACGCATGCGCCCTGGGCCCTGGGGCCCGCGCGCGACCCAGATGGCGAAGGGAGTACCCCTCCATGATTTCCAGTGCAAACAGTCAAAACTTGCTGCGGGGCACTGGCTTCCTTTGGGATTGCATGTAATAACAAAGGCTTCTTCTGTCTTTTTCCCACACATACGCATACATATTAAAGCTCTGGGACCGAATTCCATTTGCTGCTCCAGCCTAAGTTGTAGTAAGCCCTAGGTTGGTGGTATGCATTATGCATCACAGACACATTGTGTGCCTTGCCTAGAATTTTATGGATATTTTATGGCCTAGAATTCATAGAGCATTTCTGGAGGGGGATATTCTTGCATTTCATCAGTTAAAAGAGAACTATTTCAAGAAAATGCCAGTGCATGGTATGAACAATAATTCTGGGTGCTTCTCTGCCTCAGTTTACCTCACTGTACCTCACTGTACCTCATTTGGAAAGTGAAATAATAGTGCATGCCTCTTGAGATTACTGTGAGTACTGAGTTAATGGAGAGTATTTATGCAGTTCTGTCATTTTTATAAGGACAAAACAACACACACAATAATGACAAAACCTAGTCGTGTGTAACTTCTTTACCTAATTTGAAATGCAGAAGTAGAAACAGAGAAGTTCAGATAATATCATTCACTTTGAAGTTAATCTGTTTTTCGCTTATTTCTGGATCCTATTTTCATACTGCTCTGGTCTTCATAGCTTTTGAAAACCAAGCGGATGTGTTTTGTTGGATGATAATTGACATACATATGTATATATATTTGTATACATATATATTAATGTATAGATATCTATGTGTGTGTGTGATATAGGTTGTTTCTCAATAGTTTTTGGGAAAATGACACCTTTGCACTGCATACAAATATCTATGGAGATTTCTAGAACGCCTGGGGATGAGTACTCTAGGAGTATTTGCCTTTATTCCCATGTCAGTTTTCAGAGATGTTCCTGGAATGTGGACTCTTCCGGGTTGCTTTTTCCAATGGCTGTGCTTTCGCTTTAGAGCCCAAGATGAGGACTCAGGACACTTGAACTTCAGTGGTATGTGATTCTATGTAGGTTTCACCTTCTGTATTTTCAGGGTCAGTCAAAGCGTGTTAAGATGTACCTCTAGGTAGGTCTTTAAAGAGAGGTGATGAAAGAAGGTTATTGGTTCTATTCCTGCTTTACATGCAGGGTAGAAACAGACAAGTTGACTAGGACAGTATGGATCAGTGAAGACCATTGGTGTGAGAATGTGGAATTTGAGGGACAGGAAGGTGAAAGGGCAAGGTAGGCTTTCTCTCCTAGCATTCTGAGAATAGGCTGATTTTTCTCTGTATCATGAAAAGTTATTTTACTTTGATAATACTGCATTTCAGTTTACAGAAGATAGCTTCATTTGTCCCAGTGCAGGCTCATGTTCCTTATTTCTAGTATTTGGATAATTTAATGCTCTAGGAAAATGCTTTTTCTGACATCACCTCTAAGAACAGAAACCATGGTTAAGAGTCCCTTATATATTGTTACAGAGTTTTTAGAGCTTATTCTAATATGCATGAATATATGTTAATAAAAATAGTGAGAAAATATATTTTGTGTTACACCTTATATTTTCCACTTCACAATACATTTTAGAAACCTTCCTATGTCAGTTTCTAGAAGTCATTATTTGTAATAATTATATAAATATACACCACACAAAAACACACACACACAAAACATGGATATCTTTGAGCTTTTGTGGAAATATTTATATAGGATGGTGGAGTTGTTATCAAAATGTATATGTTCTTTACATTTTAATAGATGTTGCCAAATTACTCTAAGTCTCAATTTATGTTACTACTAATCATCTGTGCAAGTGCCAATCTCTCCACATTCTGCCAATACTGGTATTATAAATCATTTTAATTTTGCCAATCTGATACATAAATAAAGCTTCATTTTTATCCCAAATTTTCATGTATTTACTTTTAAAGGAATTCATATGCTTTAAAAGAAAATAATTGTTTCTTCAATAATTTATTTTTCTATTGGGTTCTTTTTCTATATAATCAGCAAAGACTCTTATGTAAATAGGAATTTTCATTCTCTTTTATACCAGCTGCAATTATTTTTACTATTGTAATTTGCATTTGTTTAAGAGTTTCTGGATATATGTCCTTGCTTAGAAAGCCCTTCTAGTTCCTAACATGATAAAAATATTCAGCACAGTTTTCCATCATCACATTGAGGATTTTTATACATACATAGCTTACATTTTTATTCTCATTCCATTTTCATCTTTTGAACAATTATGGCTGAAAAGTTTGTAATATTGCATAGTATAGGAATGCGGATGTTCCAAAGTAAAAATTTAAATATTACCTACAAAAATGGTAAAAATAAAATAAAATAATTAAAAATCGGTAAAAATCAATTCAGAGGTCATTTGTTGCCTTCAGACACTTATCAATTCTACCTTTTTTGGTGATAGGACTTTGATTTCCTTTTGCAAAATTATCTTTACCTTGTTGGATGTTATCTGGTGAGACTGTCAATCACAGAAGCCATTGCAGTACTTGTCAGGAGAGATGATAGTGGCTTTGCCTAGGGTTGGGACTGTGGGGTTGATGGAACATGGTTAGAAACAGGTTATATTTTTGACAGCAGAATCAACAGAATTTACTAATGGGTTGAACATAATGTGTGAGGAAGATGGGAATCAACAATGAAGCTTAAAAGTTTTATGTTCCTTTTTTTGGTTTCTGTTTTTTGTCTGATTATTTAGTGAACAGTAATGTCATTTCCTTAGATAGGAAAGGTTTGGGGGGATTGAGGAGATCAATAATTCTGTTATGCGTATGTTAAATAGGCAGTGAGGTATGTGCTTTTGGGGCTCAGGGGAGAGGTCCAGGCAGGACTTTCACATTTGAAAGTCACAAATGTGCAGAGGACATCAAAGCATGAGCAAGTTGAGATCACCTGATGAAAGGGCTTAATGGAGAAGAGGAGGGTCTGGGCCACTCTCCTTATGGAAACTGTGGAGGAAGATGAAAGTTTTTTCACACCCCTTCCAGTCAGTTCCTACCCCTGAGTTCTGAGTCAGTTTTGCCACCTGTTTAGTTTGGCATACACTTGAACAGAAAATAACTTTACTCTCAGCTGTCCACATCCTTTCCTTATATTTTGTTATAAGAAAAGGGGAAGAAACAGGGAAAATATCCACTAATAATGACAGCCTGGTTTTCTCATTCCCTGGGCAGTGGTAATGCTGTGAGGGATCTAGAGCACAAAGGATTTGCTTGAGAGTAATTAAGTAATTAGAAACAGAAATAATTGACTTATGTGATACGGTGATGTCAACAAATCAACATTTCAAAACAACTCTTATCCACATATCCTTAACGTCTTAGAACTCAAAAAAATCATTAAATTCTTACTTTGACTAAAACTTAACAGCATTTTAATCTTATTTCTTACCAATTACAGCATGGGGGGGTATAATGATATGCATATCGAGTAAGAGGGCTGAAAGAGAGAAAAAAACTCATACTACTTTTTTTTTTTTTTGGTCCAAATAGCAACTAAGAGGAAAGAATCTCTGGTTAGTGCCAAGGAAACCCAGTGTGCAAGCTGACTGTCCTCTAAGCTTTCAAATAGAAATAGCCCATGATATTCTGGTATTCTGAACTTTACCTCATGCCCTCAATTATAAATCGCAAGATCATTCCTTCTTCCGGGCAGTGCTTTGGTCAGAAATGGGGACTTGACAATAGTTAAAAAGATCAGTGTTACTCAAAGTACAGGCCTGACTGGTACAAGTCACAAATAGATAAATACAAAGCCTGAGAGTAAACATTCAGAAAGTTTTAGTCCAATTTAGCAGAACAATTTTAAGTCTGTTCAATCTAATAATTAAGAAAAATGCTTTTGGGTTTGTATCATTTTTAACATTTTATTTTATGAATCATTTTTCTTAATTTACCAAGGTATCAGTCCTTTACAGATGCAAATTAAAACAAATACCAAGAAAACCAGTCCTTCATCAACAGCTAGTTTGAGAAGCACCACAGATATTTTGCCCATTTTTAAAAAAATACGTCATTTTCTTATTGTTGAATTTTAAGAGTTCTTTGTATATTTTGGATGTTTTGAACATACTGTCTCCTAGCCTTTGGCTTGTATCTTTAGTCTCTTAACAGTGTCCTTGCAGAATAGAAGTTTTAAATTTTAATCAAGTCCAACTTCTCATTTTTTTAATGGATCCTCCTTTTGGTGTTGTATGTAAGGAGTTACTGCCATACTTTTTAACTTTTTTTCTTCAAGTGTTTTCCTGTTTTGTATTGATCTTCTTGTTAGCAACTGTGGTTTTATACTATTCGATTAGCCTACTGTAGAAAATAAGGTGTCTTGCTTAAAGTTACAGTTTCCATCTAAGAATCCAGATGATGTTAAGTGAGGACTTACTGTATAGAGTAATTTTTTGCACTTTACATCCATTTTTTAAATTTTGAGACAGTCTTACTCTGTCACCCAGGCTGGAGTGCATTGGTGTGATCTCAGCTCACCACAACCGCTGCCTCCTGAGTTCAAGCGATTCTCCGGCCTCAGCCTCCCGAGTAGCTAGGATTACAGGCACATACTACCACACCCAGCTATATGTTTTATTTTTAGCAGAGACAGGGTTTCACCATGTTGGCCAGGCTTGTCTTGAACTCCTGACCTCAAGTGATGCACCCACCTTGGCATTCCAAAGTGCTAGAATTATAGGCATGAGCCACTGAGCCCAGCCATAAACTCATTATTTATTTATTTAATTATTTATTTATTTATTTGTAAACCTAAACTGCTCTAAGGAAAAAAAAAGTTTATTTTAAAACAAAAATATGTATGATTTATAACCATACATCTCAAAAATTTGCTGTGCTCATGACTACTTTTTATGTCAATCATGAGAAATTTTGAGAATATTCCACTGTGTAAGTAAAAAGCT